TAGCACAGGAGCCATCGTTATTGATAAATTTTGAGAGAGAGAGTGAGAGCGAGCAAGAAGTATTGATTGGTCATTTCACTTACTTATACATTATTGGTTGATTCTTGTATGTGCCCCAATCAGGGATCAAAGTCACAACCTTGGTGTATTGGGATGATATGATGCTTTAACAAACTCATTAGTCAACAGAGCCAAATATCCTTAGCACAACGATTGAAATTTCTTTTGAGAGCCATTTTTTTTTTAAACTTAAACTTCTTCTAACGCCACTTCTTCAAAATAGACTCGCCCAGGCCGTGGTATTTTGTGGAAGAGCCACACTCACGGGGCCAAAGAGTCGCATGTGGCTTGGGAGCCAGTTTGCCGACCACGGTTCTAAACAACTAAGACACCAGACCAGGCAGCTAACTGCTCTCACCTCCTCCCCTTCGCCCCTGGTAACCACCGTCCTCCTCTTTGTCCGGATGGATTTGACTATGGGTACCTCCTGAGTGGGATCATCCAGCATTTGTGTGTTGTTGCTGGCTTATTTCACATAGCATCAGGCCCTCCCAGCTCACCCATGTCGTAGCAGGTGTTAGCCTGGCCTTCCTTTTCCTGGCTGAGTAATAGTTGGTGGTACGCATGGACCGCATGCTGCTTATCCATTCGTCCCATTGATGAGCACTTGGGTTGTCTCTAGCCACCGGGACTTTTTCTTCATCGTTGGTGCACAGGTGTGTTCTTTTACTGGTCTCTGGTGTCAGTTGGTGTGTTTTACTGGCCAAGTCATTGAATAGGAAAAAGAGAAACTAAACGGATGCCTTCCTTTCTGGCTCCAGCCTCTTCTGCCTCACTGCTTCCCTGGCCACCCCCAGCCTCTCGCAGCCTCTCTGCTGATAGGCACCACGATTGTCATGGTGCAGCCTCGTCTCTGAGCTCCGTTTGGGCACCTGAGCAGCCTGTGCCATTCCCCCGTTTTCACACACGTTCCTTGTTTCCCATTGACTGGCTTTTCCTCTCCGTGTCCTGGTGCCCGACCCGCGTGGGTGCTCCCTGCTGGCAGGTTGAAGAAATAAAGGTGCTGTAGGCTCTGCCCTCAGACTTGGCCACCATGGCTGTGATGGCCCAGAGGGGCCTTGCCTGGGTCTCTCTCTGCTCTAGGCATGTGTCATCCCTCTTTCCCATAGGGGGATGGCGCGTTTCCGTTCAATAATATTTACTCCTCCCACTGCCTCGCCCCTCCTTTTACAAAGGGGCGATGAGAAAAGAATCAGAAATTTCCTCTGTAAGCTGATGTGAGCAGCTTTTTTTTTTTTTTTTTTAATATAATTTATTGATTTTGTACAGAGAGGAAGGGAGAGAGATAGGGAGTTAGAAACATTGATGAGAGTGAGTCATCGATCAGCTGCCTCTTGCACACCCCCTCCTGGGGATATGACCGCAACCAAGGTACATGCCCTTGACCGGAATCAAACCCGGGACCCTTCAGTCCCCAAGCCGACGCTCTATCCATTGAGCCAAACGGTCTTGACTGATGTGAGCAGCTTTGTAAGGGAGAGAGAGTTCTTCTCATCCCTGAAGGCGGGAGTGGGGGTTGGGGGTGGTGGCATTGGCGTGGCTGGCTCTGGAGCCTCAGCACAATGTGCTCCACTGCTTTCTGCCTCCTTTCTCTCCACACTGCCCTCCCCATGCACCCCGCACCACCTCCTCCTCCTCACATAACCAGAGGTGACTCTCTTATTCACAGGCCAGATGGAGGTCATTGCTAGAAAGTGCTAGGTCTGGGAGCGGTCTTTATTTAGTGGTTCTCTACAAGAACCACTCTTTCAGTCTCTTTCATTCACGGAAAGAGACTGGCAAGTCCAGAATCTGCAGGGCAGGTCGGCCGGAGACCCAGGGGAGACTTGATGTTGCAGCTGAGGTCCACGGACTGTCTGGTGGCAGAATTCTTTCTCCTTGGGAGGAGGGGAGGGGGCATCAATATTTTTCTCTTCAGGCCTTCGATGGATTAGATGAGGCCCACCCACGCTCTGGAGTTTTTCTCCAAGTCTACTGATTTTCATGTTAAGCTCATCTAAAAAGTACCTTCACAGCCACACCTCGCCTAGTGTTTGACCATATCTGGTGCCAGTGCGGTGACATGGCCTCACCGGGTTGTCGGATAAGATTAACCATCGCGTCCCCTGGGGTGCCTGGGACGGCACTAACAGAGATGGGAGAGCCCGGTCTCTGCCTCAGGGAGTCCAGACTGCATGTTAAAGACATAGGAACAACTCCGCTTATATTTAGGTGCTATCTTATAAGGATGAAATGTAAAAGGATGAAATGTGAGAGGAAAGGGGGGGGTTCTAGGTGCTTCCACAGTAAGCGTTTTCGCCTTAAGGCAATTTCACTGTAAAAGATAAAAACGACACCATCCAGAACTGAAATATCATGGCTGTCATGTACACATAAGGAACTGTTTGACCTTGAAATTGGGACTCAAAAGACCTGTTGGCCCAGAAAGAAACTCACTACAGACTGATTCATTTGCCTCTCAGCATAACCATTATTGCTTGTCTCATTTTCGGTTCCGTAAGTGTATTGCTAGTAACACATGATCTCACTCATCTAGGGGAAATAATGAACATCATAAACTGATGAACAAAAACAGACCCGGAGACAGGGAAGCATCGATCAGACTGTCCAACCTCAGAGGGAAGGTAGAGGAGGGTGGAGGTAAGGGGGAGAGATCAACCAAAGGACTTGCATGCATGCATGCATATAAGCCTAACCAGTGGTCACGGACAACAGGGGGGTGGGGGAAGGGTTTGGGATGGGAATGGGGGAATGAGGACAAATATGTGATACCTTAATCAATAAAGAAATAAAAAAAAAATGACTAGTTGGTAGTTTGGCTACAATTTGGAAGGCATCATGTGTTTAACCTAGATGTGAGTTTGGTTTCATTTCTCCACGGACCAAGTTCTCACAGTTACTCCCCTTTGTGTATTACATGCAATCTCAGCCCTTGTAATGGTCTGTACAGTGGTGAGAAGTCATGGTGGCCTTAAAGTAGTGGATGATGACAAGTATGTAGAAAGCAGATTACAAAACAGCCTGGGAAGCCAGATTCATCCTGTTATAGAAAAGGATCACGCATCAGTTTACAAATCCTTTGGGAACCCCACTCAGCCCTCACACCCATCAACACCAACAGTTATTCAAGCTCTGCAAATACCAGGGAGGTGGCTGCTGATTCACAGCAGTCTTCGAGGACATCACCGATTCTTCAGCTGGAAACAGACCTCTCTTAACGAAGGAAGAAATTGTGGCGGAAAGAGAAAAACTGTGAGACGAATCAACGAGCAAATGAACTTGGAAGACGATTATTTTCATTTTGTGCAATAAAGTCCTTTTAATTTTTCATGTTTCATTGTGTCCCTTTTTATGCCCCTCTTTAATCTTTTATTATTTTTTACAGCGAAATTGCCTTGTGGCCAGTTAGCTAGGCTGGAAAAATGATTGTGGCAGAGATGTTTACAGAAAAATGCTTATGGCAGAAATGCCAGGCAGGCTCTAGAATCCAGGGAGATTTCGTGGTAGGGATTGGACAGGAGCTTTCAGAACAGGGAGGTCTCAGTTAAGTGAGGACACAGAAGACTAGAACCAGAGTGGGAACAACAGGGTGATAATAATAATGGTACTTAGTTTCTTTAAAAACATGTTTTTATTGATTTTAGATAGAGGGGAAGAAAAAGAAGAAAAACATCGATTAGCAGCCTCCAATATGCCCCTACTGGGGATCGAGCCCACAACCCAGGCATGTGCTCTGACCAGGAATCCAACCAGTGACCTTTCGGTGCCTGGGAGAATGCCCAACTGAACCACGCCTGCCAGGGCAATACCCAGTTCTCATGTGCCACTAGGTCTCTGAGTTTATTGAGGATTTTCACATGCATTGTTTCATGTGATGGTCATGAAAACCCTGTTTTGTTTTTAATTTATCATTGCAGTTGGCATTCAATATGATATTAGTTTCAGGTATACAGGGTAGTGATTAGGCATTTATATAATTTATGAATTGATCCTCCTGATAACTCTAGTACCCCCTTCGCACCTTCTGTAGTTATTACAATATTATTATTATTATTATTATTATTTAAAGCATATATTTTTATTGATTTCAGAAAGAGGAGAGGAAAGGAAGAGAGGTATTGAAACATCAATGTTGAGAGAGAAAAATTATTGATCAATTGCTCCCTGCACGACCCCTACTGGGGATTGAGCCCACAACTGGGCATGTGCCTGACCAGGAATCAAACCGTTCATAGATCGACACTCAACCACTGAGCCACTCCGGCTGGGCTGTTATTACACTATTATTGACTCTGTTTCCTGTGCTGTACTTTATATGACTATTTTATTTTATTTTTTTAAATAAATGTTTACTGTTCATATTATTACTATATGACTATTTTAAAAATAATATTTTTAAATTTATTTTAGAAAGAGGGGAAGGGAGGGGCAGAGAGAGAAACATTGATGAGAGAGAAACATCAATTGACTCCCTATTGGGGATTGAGCTGGGAGCAACCCTGGCACGTGCCCTGATGGGGAATCGATCCAGCGACCTCTTCGTGCATGGGATGACAGGATGATGCTCAGCCAACTGAGCCACACCGGCCAGGGCTTTTTTTTTTTTTTTTTTTTTTTTTAAATAAAGTATTCTCAAGGCCCAGAGAGGTTAAGGGACACATCAAAGGTCACACAGCTTGCCAGTGGCAGGCCTTCCTACTCTAAATCCTGTGTCTCATCCTTACCGCCGTGGCTGGGTATAATGAAGTCCATGTGAATGTGTATGTGTCTGGGAGGGAGGAGAGACGAGCAGTGAGCAATCCAGGAAGGCGAGAACCGTGCTTTCTTCATCAAGGAATCCTGTGACACGATGAAAATGGGGCTGTTTTCTCTCCCTCTCTCCGGGTCTCTTTACCGCCTCACTAATGCCCCTCTCTTCTTGTTTTGTTGCCCTCCCACAGACACGGATGCAGAGTTTGAATCCAGATCCCAAAGCCCAGTACACAAGCATCTACGGAGCCCTCAAGAAAATCGTCCGGACCGAAGGCTTCTGGAGGCCCTTGCGGGGGATCAACGTGATGGTCATGGGCGCGGGGCCGGCCCACGCCATGTACTTTGCCTGCTATGAGAAAATGAAAAGGACTTTAAATGCCGTTTTCCACCACCACGGAAACAGCCACATAGCCAATGGTATTTGAAAGCGTTTGTCTGCAGTTAGAAAGTTCTGTCCTCAACAGACCCTTCCCCCAGCAGCCTGATGCCTCGTCTCCGCCACGCTTGCTTATGAATAAAGAACTCTAGCGCCGCGTGTGTGTACGCACACACCCCCAGACACATGCACATGCACACACACATGCTTTTTCCCCGTTCCTTTTCTTCGCTCTCTGACCGGCCGGGGAGATTGGTGACAGAGGTGTTTCCGTTTTCATTGTTGTGTGGGTTTTTCACTTTTTTTCCTTTTGTTTTTGTGTCTTTTTTTTTTTTTTCATGTTTTTTTTTTTTTTTTTTTACATTCAAAAGCCATTAATGATCAGATCTAGGAAAACCACCCTGAATAGACACAAAACTTTTGAATGCTGGATTCCAAAAAAAAAAAAAAAAAAAAAAAAAAAAAGTTGTCTGGACAGCTTCTTTGAGACTATTTAAAAAAACTGGTTCAACAGGTCTCTGCAACGTCAAGATGTAACTAAGCTTTAAAAGGTCAAGAAGTTTTATGGCTGACAAAGGATTTGCTCCAGCTGCAGACGGCCTTCCTTCCCGCCTTAAGCTCCTGGGGGTTTGGGAATGTCACCCCACTCTCTTCTGTTTGTTTGCGTTGCATCTCTCTGCAGTAGTTCTTCTGTTGTTCGGGAGTTGGGTGGGGGCTCGGGTTCGGAGGGCAGCTCTTACCTGGACATGCCTTCCTGGGCCCACTGGGTGGTGGTTTTGCTTGTCCTGTGGGGTTTGGCCTTTTTTGTTTCTGTGGGTACGGAACGGGGCTGTGGGTGGCAGTGTGTGGTGCTCTCATTTTAACAGAATTAATTGTTCAGCAATGGAGAGGTAGAGGTGACCAGCGACAATTTCTTTTCTCCCTTCTCTTTTCTGCACAGAACCCAAAAGTGTCCTTCCCATCAGCCATATTGGTAGTAATAGCTCTGTCTGGCTGGTGTGTAGACATCTTTTTTTTTTTAATATATTTTATTGATTTTTTTACAGAGAGGAAGAGAGAGAGATGGAGAGTTAGAAACATCGATGAGAGAGAATCATCGATCAGCTGCCTCTTGCACTTCCCCTACTGGGGATGTGCCTGCAACCAAGGTACATGCCCTTGACCGGAATCGAACCTGGGACCTTTCGGTCTGCAGGCCGACGCTCTTATCCACTGAGCCAAACCGGTTTCGGCTGTTTTGCTTTTTTAAAATTGGGCATGAATTGCGTTTATTGAGGCCATCCCTGAGTTCAAGGCTCTCCTTTTGCTGAAACTGCCTTATGTAATGAATGGTTTAGCTCCTTGGTCACTGGACCCCTTGACTGCAGTTTGACAGTGCCCGGTTGATGCCAAGTTATGCCAAACGGTGCCCAGTGTAGGCCAGGATCTGCCCAGCTGTGCCCGCTTCCCTGTGGTGTGTGCTCTGGTTGACTGCCCTTTGACCTTTCTGGGGAGCCATCAGTGTGTGTATATATATACTGCTGGAGCCTTATCCTGGGGTCCCTGGTTCCTTTCACCTTCCGGCAGTCATCTTAATTACGGGGCATGCGAGCCCCAGAGGGAAGAGACCCGGATTCCAAAGCGAAACCCCAGGCCTGAGCCAGGATGTTGAAACTCCTGGTTTTTTGAAGCCAGGTGGTTGGCCCTAGACAAGTCATGTCTTGGCAAATCAGCCCTGAACAGCTACCAGGTGCAGGTCTTCCTGGCCTCTTTCCATTCCCTAGCGCCCAGGTCAGTGGTTGGCAAACCGTGGCTCGCAAGCCACATGCGGCTCTCTGGCCCCTTGAGTGTGGCTCTTCCACAAACTACCACGGCCTGGGCGAGTCTATGTTGAAGAAGTGGCGTTAGAAGAAGTTTAAGTTTAAAAAATGTGGCTCTCCAAAGAAATGTCAACTGTTGTCCTGTTGATATTTGGCTCTGTGGACTAATGAGTTTGCCGACCACTGGCCTAGGTCTTACTAAGACATTTTCTTAAAGATTTCTTTCCCGGTGTTTTCTCCCTCTCAGCCGTGTGCATGGTGTCGCTCCCTCTGATTGCCCCCGTGTAAGTGCAGAGCGAGTTCATGGGGTAGACCCAGGAGAGGGACACGCTAGCATTTAAAACCTAGACTGTGGGAAAAGCCACAAACTGTGTTTTCTGGGTACCATCCAGCGTTAGCAGGTCTAACCTTTGCCCAGGATTGACTGCCAGAGAGAAAATGAGGTTTCCCCAAGACGAAAACCTGGGTACCTGGGCCTCTTCCCGTCCCCATTGTTCTCTAGGATGTCCATGATTACTTCAGGGTTTAAGAGGCGGCACACACCTGGGTGGAGTTGGCAGTGGATTTTACTGCTTAGGAAGCTGTGCCCAGGGTTCCGTCTGACTGTATGTCCCAGAACTTTCTCCGAGCGCCCGGACCCAGAGGGTAATTTTCTGGAGTTTGTTTTGCAGGCATAGCTGGGAGTATGGCCACCCTGCTCCATGATGCAGTAATGAACCCAGCAGAAGGTAATGTTTCCCGCCCAGGGAGCGGCAGGGGGAGGTCAGGGGGGGCAGGAACGACGGTGGCGGGGGTGGGGGACGGTAGGTCGGGCAAGAGGACTCCTGGTCCCCAGGCAGAATAAGCAACAGACTTTTTTTTTTTTTTTTTTTTTAAACCACATTTTATTAAAGGGCTCAAGAAGAGGCACTAGTATTTGAGCTTCTGGTATTCCTGTTCTCTTAAGCAGGGCTACTCAGGGTGTGATCTGGGGACTAGTAGCCACCAGCATCTCCTGGGAGCATATTGGAAAGGCACATTTTTTAGATCCGACCCGGGTCTCAATCAGAACCTGGGGGTGGGGGCAGGGATGGGGCAGTTTTCACACGCCCTCCTGGTGAGTCTTTTGCACTAGTCTGAAATCGTGGCATACACACACACATATACACACACACTTCTGGCCCTTGTCAACCTTTCTCGGCCTTCGACACATTTGGGGGGGGGAACACACCTGTCAAAGGCCCTTCATGGAGGCTTATGTTCAATTTGCTTTTTTAAAAAATGTGTTTTTTTTGTTTTGTTTTTTTTTAATTTCAGAAAGGAAGGGAAAGGAAGAGAGAGAGAGAAACATCAATGATGAGAAGGAATCATTGATTGGCTGCCCTTCTGGGACTGAGCCCACAACCCAGGCATGTGCCCTTGATGGGAATCGAACCCAGGACCCTTGAGTCCACAGGCCGATGCGCTATATACACTGAGCCAAACCAGCTAGGGCTCAATTTGCTTTTTGTAAAAGGAAGTTGAAATCATCATGGAACATTTCAAACATGAGTAGAGATGAGAATATTCTGAATTCCCGTGTAGGCATTGCTCTATTCCTAAGTGAACATCTGGCCGTTTTGTTTAGCTGTCTCCTCCCACGTTACCTTGTGGGTTTTGCGAGCATTGAGGAACAGCTCCCAGCGGTGCAGACTCCCCACCGGGGCTTTTCCTGTGTCTCAGTGGCTCGCCCACTGGTCTGAGCCCGAGGAGCTTTGGGAGCTGGTGCTGGGCCTGCCCCCGCCGGGTTAGGCTCCGTGAGAGGAGGGCCCCCCTCCACCTCTCTCCCCCAGAAAACGACCCCTTTCCAGAAGGGAGATTTAGAGGCAAAACTGTCCACATTTTAAATCTTGGCTGACACGTTTGTTTTTTTAAGGTTAAAATGTCTTATTTGTAATCAGCTGCCTCCCAGGCCCCAGCAGACGGGGGACTTGTTCTGTCCTTCAGGGACGTGACGGGCCCAACTGGGTGGCGGGTTTCTCTGTGTGTGAGTTTAAGGCAATTCATAAGGGGGCCTGGCCAGTGACCAGTTAGCTCATGCCCAGCAGGTGAGAGCTGTGTTTGCTTTTCAAAGGAGCAGAAAGCCAGTGTCCACCTCACCTCTTCTCCTTGACATCGTGTTGACTGACGGACTTCATTCCTTTGCCAACAAGAAAAGCACACTGTGTGCTCACTTGGGCAATGGGCGGGGATGGCTCCGACTCCCACGAGGGTCCACAGTGAGCCCTCGTTTGCCTTGTGGCCTTTGACCCACAGTTCTTTTCGTATGAACAAAGCAAGGGTCTTCCCTGGGGGTTGTCAGTGAAGTGGGCTGGCTTAATTATAGCGTCTCCCCAGAGCACTGTGACACAGAAGCTAATGACACAGACAGATAGGCAGACAGACCAGGAAAGGAAAGGGGGGACACGTGTCCAAGAGGGTAGGGGCAGGATTCAGATTTGGGGCGGGAGCGGGGCCCACCTGGAGCTGGCCCTCTGTGGTCTCCGGCTGGGGCTGCGTGTGCGTGCTCTGACCCGTTGCCAGCGTGTCTAAACTTGGCTTGTTTTTCTTTATGGCCTGGCTTCCCATTGCACTCTGACCCGGGGTGGGGCCAAACCAACCCACTGCCCCCTGCCTGCGGTTCCACCATGCCCACCTGCAGTTGTGAAACAGCGCATGCAGATGTACAACTCGCCACACCCATCGGCCCTCGGCTGCATCCGTTCGGTCTGGAGGACCGAGGGCCCGCGGGCCTTCTACCGGAGCTACACCACGCAGCTGACCATGAACGTTCCCTTCCAGTCCATCCACTTCATCACCTACGAGTTCCTGCAGGAGCAGCTCAACCCCCACCGGGGCTACAACCCACAGTCCCACATCGTCTCCGGCGGGCTGGCCGGGGCCCTGGCCGCGGCCGCCACCACCCCCTTGGACGTCTGCAAGACCCTCCTCAACACTCAGGAGAACATGGCCCTCAACCTGGCCAACGTCAGCGGCCGGCTCACGGGCATGGCCAACGCCTTCCGGACGGTGTACCGGCTCAACGGCCTGCCCGGCTACTTCAAGGGCATCCAGGCCCGCGTCATCTACCAGATGCCCTCCACTGCCATCTCCTGGTCGGTCTACGAGTTTTTCAAGTACTTCCTCACCAAGCACAAGCTGGAGAGTCGGGCTCCCTACTAAAGCAACGGGCTGTGGGCCGTGACTCCAGAATCTTGTTTTTCTAAAAGGGTTTTCCCTGCCTGCTTCCCTTCCCGCGCCCTCCCGGCGGGATTGTTTTTGCAGGGAGTTCTCAGGGGGTGGCCTTCCATTCCCCGGCTGACGCTTTGGAGAGAGGAGAGGATGGGACAGCCGCCTAGCAGAGGCCGTCCACCTACCAGAGGCCTATATGAGGTGGTAGGATGGGGAGGAAGGCTTTGGAAGGAGAGCAAGAAGTGGCTTTCTCTGTCCTCCCCTAAGAAGGACGTAGCTCTCCTGCCTCCCCGTGGCAGGCCCCGCCCGCCCGCCCCTGGGATCATAGGTCACGCAGTGGGGGAGAAAGTGTGATGGCTGAGAACCATGAGAGCGAAAAGAGCACATTATGTATATAAAAGTTCTAGGACACAGTATCAAATGGATGGATAATGTTTTATTCTTTATTTTTCTACGTAGAGGTTTTTGGGTGTGTGTGTGTGTGTGTGTGTGTGTGTGTGCCTGTGTGTGTACGGAGAAGTGTGACAGCTAGGGATGCAAAGCTGATTTTAAAAAAGAGAAGGCTGAAGCCTTCCATTGGGTTAGGGCTATGGTCGGCAAACTGTGGCTCGAGAGCCACCTGCGGCTCTTTGGCCCCTTGAGTTTTTAGCAAAGGCCAGCTTAGGAGGACCCTCATTAAGTTAATAACAATGTACCTACCTATATAGTTTAAGTTTAAAAAAATTGGTCTCTCAAAAGTAATTTCAGTCGTTGCACTGTTGATATTTGGCTCTGTTGACTAATGAGTTTGCCGACCACTGGGTCAGGGGAAAAGGCACCAAAGTAAAAAATTGCTAAATGTGGCCTAAAGTTGCGTTGAGCCCCCAAATGGGAGTTTCACTTGAATGTAAAATAATAAATATGTTTATATTTTTGAATTTCTCTTTTTATGGCGTTTGGGGGAAAGGTACATTGGGGGGAAAAAACCACACCAACAAACACTATGGATCTTACAGCTACTTTTTTTTTCTTCTTTCATTCATTCAGTTACCTTCCTGTGCTTTTAGCCTTTGTCTTTCCTTAAAATTCTGGGACCAGAGACCTGGGCCTGAGACATTCTCTTTTGCTGTGGGCACACACATACATGCCGGGTCACCCGGAAGGACAGTGGCCCCAGCAGGATTGGAATGAAGAGGCTCACGCCTGCGAGACCATGTCCTTCCCGGGGACAGAACCTGCTCGGGAAAATGGATGACCGTGAAATGCCAGCATCTGGCTACTGGCTGGCATCAGTCCTGCTATTTCCTAGGACTTCTTTCCACATCCACCTTCTTACCCAGGCGCCTCTGGAGTTCCTGTTTGTGTGTGCTTTGGCTAAATCTCCTGACCTGTTTCCCTGGGCAGGGTTAGGGATTTGAAAACACATAGCAAGTACATGGTATTTGCCTCTCCCTGCAGTGACAGGCGGCAGGCCTTCCAGCTGGGCCCAGACCTCATGCACAGATCAGGGTGCCTCTGGAGCCTCGCTCAGCCCCCCTAGGTCCTCATCAGTGGAGAACACGGGGCCTAATGCCCTGGTTCTCTGAGATGGTGATTCCCAGCCAGGCTATCACGGAGAGAGGGCGGGCCTGTTCCTGTTCCTCTGGCCACAGCTTTCCATTGGCTGCCAGGCTTTCAAGGGATGACCTAATGGCCTCCTTTCAGAGCCCGGCTTTTTTTTTTTCCTTTTTTTTTTTTTTTTTTTTTTTTTTCTTAAAGGAGCAGAGCACAAGTATGCTTCATTCCTGCAGGCCTGGTCCAGCCTTGGCCCTTGGCCCTTGGCCTTAGGCAGTCAGTGCTGAGCTGTGCACAGAGGCTCAGACCTGGCTCCTATAACTTCCTGGGAAGAAGCCAAGTGGCACTGGGACAGTTTTCATCTTGGGATCCTGCTTGTGTGGGGAGTCTCAGATGAGGGACAAGGAGGGCGCTGGCAGCTCCACGTGTGCCTGTGAGCTGGGCCATCCCCCTGGGAGGGGGTCAGCTGCTGGCCTGTCCCAGCTCAGGGGTTCACCCCCCGGGGACACACTTCCCGCCAGCATCTGCCCCCACTGGCGTGCAAAAGCCCTTGGAGACCATGTTGCTATGGCAAGTGTTTAGGACTCTAAACACATCCTGTGTTTGAGTTTAATTCTTTGAATGGAAAAAACATCGAATTCTGAAATAATTACCCAACCACCCCTTTGGTCCACTTAGACTCGCCACCTTGTTGCACCATGTTGCTTACTTCGTACAGGCTTTGGTGTTTGCTGTTATTCAGAGAAGAAGCTGCTGATTTCTCTGGGGAAACCCCTTAGGGTGTGTGAGGCCAGAAGCAGAAGGAGGGAGTGGCGTGCAGAGCTCTGGCTCACGAGGAGGGTCTGAGCCCCACGGTGCAGTGGATGGCATAGAAGTGGGGGTGAAGCCACCTGCCCTGCCTTCCCCAGCAGGTCTCCTTGGGGCTGCATGAGCACTAAACAAATGCCAGTAATCGCTTATTTTTGTGGGAATTGATCCCCCCACCCCCTTCCCTGCTCGTCCTGAGCTCCAAAGTTTGCGCTGTTGCCTTGTGCCGACTGTGGTCCCCTTGTTGGTTGTGACTTTACGGTTGTGAAGCACTGTCCTCCCGCCCCAGGGACAGCCACTTGGCACAGCTGGTGTGGTCTGGGTGGGTAGCATCTTTGGAGTGACACCTGCAGGCAGCCAGAGCCTCCTGAGTGCAATGCACAGCTCTAGGCGCATGTGCGCATGTGCACGTCACGTGATCGGAGAGTCACCCACTTGCTCATCAGTTTTATTTTTGAATAAAACATTGATTTTTTTTCCCCTAAATGGGATAACAATCCAGTCCATGACTATATTTTTAAAATTCTGGATTAAATCTAGCTCTTTCCTGGCCCACATCCTCTTGTATGGATTCTCTTTTCTTTTCTTTTTCATTATTATTACTAATTATTATTATTATTTTAATGCTGATGTCTTATTCCCAGCCCTGTGCCCTGAAGGCTGCATCTCCAGTAACTTTATTTAAGGAGGATTGTGCCGTTAAAGGCGAAGGCATTGCTGCTTCCTGCCGGCCAGACACACAGTGAATGTTATAAGGGTGGTGTTTCTGCCTCAATCGTCGCCCGCTGTTTGAAGGGGAGACGTGTGTGTTCCTGATGGGCTGCCACCGCTGTAACGCTGGAGCCAGAGACGAATAAAGCTTTGGTGTTTGAAGTGCTGTGGGCTCGGTGAGGAAATCCTGAGTGTGAGGAACGCGGGTGGAGAGCAGAGACACACCTGTGGGGCGTGCCCATGCCAGTCTCGTGCACCAAGAACCGGGGCCTGTGTTGCTGACGGAAAGGTCCCGTTCCACCCTTTTGTCCAGATGGAAGCGGAGTGCCCTGGCGGCCAGCCCGAGGTCACCCTGCAGGGAGGGCAGCAGCTGTTCTTGTGTGGGAGCATGAGCGTGACAGGCCCCGGTGCACGGAATGCTCATGCCCGTTCCTCTCACATGCACACTGATGACCCCTCGGAGGGTCCCTCTGTGTGGAAGGCCCAGGGGTGGCCGGATCCACACACACTTTCTAAAGGTCACCGCGAACACCAGAGAACCGACCCTTTTCTGGGGAGAGTGGGGCAGGGGCTGGGGGCGTCTCAGGCCCCTCGGGGAAGCCAGGACAACTCTCATTCTTCACGTGATCCTCGAAGCCGGAGCACCCGGAGCACCCACTTCACGGAGGGCCTTGGCATCCATGGCCAGGTGCCCGGAGGTGGGACGGGGGCCAATCGGAGTGTGAGGAAGGCTGGAGCTACACTTCCCGCCTGGCAGTTACCGAAGACCAAGCTTTGCTTCTCAAAGCTGACTCGGGGCTTGCAGCTGCTTCTGCGGGTGTGTGTGTGTGGCGGGGAGAGGGGGGGGGTGGAGGTGGGGGTAGGGGGGGGCAGGTGTGGGAGGGCCCGCCTGCTCCCAGCGAATGTGGATGCATTCAGCATGTGGTCCCCGTCTGCCCCACGGAGTCAGTCTGCCACCAAACCCAGGGCCTCCTGTGACTGGGCGCGGGGCCGGCGTTGTGGGGAAAGAGGCAAGTGCAAGGTGGGGTTCTCCCCCTCCCTGTGGCTGGACACAAGGCCATCTGGGAAGACCAGACTTCCTTGAGGCAATCAAACCTCACCTACCAAGATGCCACATATACCATGGAAGTGCCAGCTGAAACTTAGTGTTCACGAGGTGTTTCCTCACCATGGGGAAAAAGCAAGAGTTGCAACCCAGTGTATGCAGACCTGGCAAGCCACGGGCACACCTGGTGTATGGGCCACGATGGAGGGGTGTTTAGCCACGGGAAAGGGAAGTTCAGGGAAGGGAAGTTAGAACCAGAGAGACTCCACGTGGGCAGAGAGCTCCTGGAGAGTTCTCGAAGGCCCAGCCCTTCCCATCGACCCTCTGGGCGGATAGTGTTTTCTTAAGTTCCAGTTAGTCTTTATCAGAAGTAGAACAGTGACTTGATCCCGTCGACTCGCTTGCCCATCCGTGCGTGGCTCTGTCCCCACCAGTGGCGGGCTGGAGCCACGCCTGCACAGCCCCTGGAGCGGCCGGTCCACATCCCGCCCCAGCTTCGCACCCAGTCATGTGCTGCTGGCAGGAAACCAGCAGATGTGGGCTTTTCAGAAATAGACAAGTGCCAGCATCAGGGCTCTTTGGAAGCCAGTGTTGCATGAGAGAGAGAGAGAGAGAGAGAGAGAGAGAGAGAGAGAGAGAGAGAGAGAGAGAGAGAGAGAGAACCACTGGGAGGCAGTAGAGCTGGGCTAGTCCTGCGCCCAGGGAAAGGAGACTTGTCTCGGTGATGGTGACGAGCTGTAGGTGAGAGCTGGGCTGCCCTCACAGGAGTTTGACCTTCAATAGGCAACGGGGGGTCCCTGGGGTCTCCCTGCAGAGGACGCCGTGGCCGGGGCTCAGCTTCAGGAAGGCCGTCTGGCAGAGCAGACAGGGTGGAGTGGAGAGGGACGCAGAGGAG